CACTGTGTGCAGATACTGATACCGGAGTGCTTGGACCGCAGTGAGGGTGTTGTCTTCAGCCCACACAGGCGACACGAGGTAGTCCTGCAGACGTCCGCGGGCCTTGGCGTCACCTCCTATCTCTTCCTTTATCCTGTTTCCTTTACTCATTTCAGAAATAGTGTTTATTTTATCTTTCAGACTTTGTATGTAGTATTCGTAGACTGTGTGTGAAGCTGTGACACCAAATTCTGGGTAGAGTTGTATTTAGACTTCCGCAGTTTTATATTAAAATAAATTGTCAGATTTTGTCTTCCGCTTAATTATTTTCGCTATTTGCATGATATCTACTCATCACTGATAATGGTTTAAAACTGGAAAATGTTAAGTAATTAGGATAATTTGGCTTGCCTAGTTTTCACCAGTAGGCGCCATCACGGCTCTCGAGGGGGTGAAATCCTAGTCGTGACAAAATTATTGATATTAATATATTTATGCAATTCAACTAATATTCTTCTGTCAAATTCACATATGAAAGGGCTCATAATTTTGAATCAGACAAATGGCACAAGTATGTGCAATTATAATTTATAAATATTAATCAAATTTATCGATTTCAATAATTATTATCTGTCTTTATCACAATTAACTACTATTTCTATGTAGGTGTACACCATAAAGTTGACATTGATTTTCTAGCTATCCTAAGGAAGACATGTGTTGATCGAATTTCTCTACAGCTTCTACAAAATCCTATTTTCATTCGACAACAACTCCTTGACATATACGCGGCTGTAAAAAAAAAAAGACTACAATTTCTTAAACATAAGGCACAAACTTTAAGACGTGAAACACTTGCAACCATAGCAGACGTTGCTCATATTCATGTATCAAATAAAGTGTGTGTTATTTAAGCATAGTAGGTTCAACATTCATTAGTTTTGAGCTTACATTTATCCTCTTCATAATTTGTGTAACTCATTGCATGCTTATTCTAAAAATATCTATATTGCTTTAAAATATTTATATTAATTAGCATGGGATACAACTAGTATAATATATAAATATCAACTTTACTGATCAAAAAAAATAAAAAATTCCGGCTTCTAAGTTCCAAGTCACACCATTGTTGCTAAAAAGGGAAAACTAGAAGAGAGATTTTCAAATTCCTAGGCTTTAATCGCCCTGCCTACAGATCGTTTCTGGTGAATCTCCATCTCTCACTGCTCTTCTTCCCCATCTCCTTCCATCCCTATTTTTTCTATTTGAATCTATTCTAACAAATTCCCAACTTATTGCACGAAACTAGGGCTTCGGTTTGTGAATTGTGATCTTACAAAAATTCGATTTAAAGCTAACATTCTCATTCTAAATTATGCTCCTTTATAATTCACAATCAATTATTGTAACTAAAACCCGCAATTTGATTTTACTCAAACGCTTTATCTTCATGAACTAGCTTTCTGTTAAATATTTACACTTGATATCAACAGCTCAGTAAATTTAGCTTTCTTTTGTTCAGTCTGTCGAGAATTCCGCCTCGGAAGGACTCTGTCTGATCACTGAACAATGCCTCAATCCCAAATTAGTTAAAATTCTTGCTCCCAAGTTCGTTACCTTTTTGCTCTGTATGTGTATATATTGTGTTTGTTTGCCTTTGTGCTTGTGCGTTTAAAACTTCTCTGATTTGGCATGTCCAGAAACTAGGAATTAGATTGAGGTATTTAGAAAATGCACATGAAGAAAAGAGGGTTAGTTTTGATATATCACTTGGACTTTTAGGAGTTAGATCTTTTTTCAGGTAAATGATTTCAAGGAGGTAGGTCTTTGTTGTAAGGATTTGTTTTTCAGTTTTTCCTGGAAAGTGCTTACTTGTTTTTGATGTTCTTTAAAGTGAATGTATCATGCCTTATTCCAGTGTTTGTTGGTAGTGGTTCATGAGTCATGAATCATATCTTGTGCATGGACTTCAAATAGTAAACAAGTTTTACAAAAATGAAATAGTCTAATGCGTACTTCTCTAATGCAATTGGAAGATAGCAAACAAGTGTTACATACACAAATTAGTCTAATGCATACTTCTCTAATGCCTTTGGAAGATAAAATAGCAGACACGTTTAACTGACATGAATTAATCGAATATGTACTTCTCTAATGCCATTGCATGTAGCTTTATGTGGACTTGTGTTCTGGTTTCATTCTATGCATCTAAGCAATGAATGGTATCCTCATAAATTTTTTGTTTATTATTTTTAACTATATACTTATCTGCTTTTCTCCAAATGAAGCCGTTTTATTGTTTTCATGTTGATTATTCAAGCTTATTTAGCTTTCCAGATGCATAATGCCGATAAACCGTCTATATATGGTGCAATTTATCTTCTTTGGGTGGTTTGTTGATATGTTGTTATGTGTTCTGTGAGTAGGTTGTTCCTCAGTTTCCTCAGATTTTTGATGGGTGCACCTAAACAGAAGTGGACTTCAGAAGAAGAAGCTGCTCTTAAAGCTGGGATACTTAAGCATGGGCCAGGTAAATGGCGCACGATTCTCAAGGATCCAGAATTTAGTGGAGTATTGTGTCTGCGTTCAAATGTAGATCTTAAGGTAGAGATTACTACCATAATTTTTCCATTAAATAATTATGTTTTGTGCAGAGGAAGTTTAGATGTTATTTGAGGCAGATGATGGCTATGTAGTTTAGTAGTTTATCTTTTGTTTCTTATCTATGCATATGGTGTTAATATGCCTATTTATCTTTGTTGATGCTGTTCAGGACAAGTGGAGGAACATGACGGTGATGGCAAACGGTTGGAGTTCTCGAGAGCAAGCAAGGTTAGCTGTCAAAAGGACGAAACAGGCCCCTAGACAGGATGGGAGTCCTGTGGCTGATACGACCACAGCTGAAAGTGATGAGGAAGCTGCTGAAGCGCAAGCAGCCACTACTTCTAGCGGTTCTCCGCAGATACATGGTTCAAGAAAAGCTATGATAAGGTTAAGCGCTGCTCGTTGATTGTTGCAGCATAACTCTTTGTGGTAGTCACCGAGTTCTTTTTGTGCTTATGGATATAGTTGCTTGCTGATTTATGCATGTTCTATTGTTCCTAGGTGGCATTTGGATGTTTTGTTAGAAATATTTTCAAAAAACATTTTTGGAGAACAATTTGTTTCCTAAAGTATTTTCTGAAATTTCTTTGCCAAACAAAAATGTCTGGCAACCAAAAAGTGCTTTGCTTTTTTCATTACATGCATGTGATACTTCTATATTTATTAGTTTTTTGCATTCGGAAGGTAAAGTTGGTATGGGACCTCTGTTTAGATCTTTACCAGAAGCTCACTGAATTTCCTTTTCTTTAGTCAGGATGAAATAATATTACCTGTCTTGGTGGGGTCACATATTATTCTTATTTTCTTACTTCGGAAGGATGATTATCCCTCATAGTTGCTGCATTAATAATATTATAGGTTGGATAATCTTATAATGGAGGCTATAAGCAGCTTGAAGGAGCCAGGTGGTTCCAACAAAACTACAATAGCTGCATACATAGAGGTACTTGTCTTCTTATTATGTGCTTTCTTTTAGAAGAAGTAACTAGATATAATACCATTCATTAATTATCATGCATAGAAATCTTACTTATTTTTCAAAGACCCATAAAGGACTGATTGTGGTGTTGCTTGTTGTGGCAATAGCAACATTATGATGATGTTTGCAACCTGTGATGCTTGTATATTTCAATTATGAGGCTTCGTAATCCTCAGTATCATCAAACTTAGTGCTTTCCCTCTTAAATTCCTTGTTTGTTATTTGTTGAAGAAAGTTTTCTATTTTACTGTTGTTGTTGTTGTTGTTTTTTTTTTTTTTTTTTTTTTAATTTTAAGATCTGACTGTTGGTAACAACAGACTAAAATGAAAAAAATACAGCACATTTGATTCCTAATGTAGCATCTAGTTGGAAATATGCAGAATATTAGATTGCTTGAGTGCACATAGGTCTGATAGTGCCACATTAATTTTTTTTTTCTTAATGTATGATCTTGATTCCATATAACAAGGCATTAGGCTCTGCTAAACAGGTCCTCAATGAAATATTATGGGTTAATGCACCCTGATGGCGGCATAAAGAATTCTGGTTAGTATATGTATGTTCAAGAGGGTGTCTGCTTTAGTATATGCTATCATGGGGTTGCATGAGTCTAATATAGATCTGATACTGCTATGCTAATATCTCTTTTCTCAAAGTATGATCTTGATTCCCTATGCTAAGAGTTCACCCCCAACTTAGTGGCTTTACTGATCAGGTTCTCAANTGCGTGCGAGCTTTGACGCGACGCATCCCCTTGTCTTCCTTCAAAAATTTTCGGACGCGACACGGGCGCGATAGGCAGACTTCACTGCCTTGAGCAATTGGCCCGTCAAAAAAAAATTTTTTTTTTTTTTTTTTTTTTTTTTTGTTAATACATTTATGCTCAATTGGTGATATAAAGGTCATGTTACAAATCTTAGTCAATGCATAAATGTCATGATTGCTTGATCTTAGTTCCTAGCAAAAACCAGAATTTTGATTGCATCTGTCAGTCTATTCTACTTAATTTTATGCTATTTCTATCTTTTAGGACCAATACTGGGCCCCTCCAAACTTTATAAGGCTGCTGTCGGGGAAACTGAAGTATTTAACTGCAACTGGGAAACTTATCAAGGTGATTTTTATTTTGTGTGCTTGACATCTGTGTCATTGCTCAGCCCACCCTAGGCGTAGGGTGTGACTGTGAATACAATCAGAAATGATGATTGGATTCAAGTGTCTGTATGCATGGTAATTTTTTACATTCCTGGTTGATCATAATACCCTGAATATATTGTCTTTTATAGATAAAGCGCAAGTATAGAGTAGCACCCACATCGACACCATCTGACAGAAGAAGAAACCTGTCCAGTCCATTCTTGGATAGCAGGCAGAGGATCTTCTCCAAGGTTGATCGGGATTATATGGACATGCTTAGTACATCTCAGATAGATTTAGAGATAGCTAATAAAATGAGGAACATGACACCTCAAGAGGCTGCAGCTGCTGCTGCACAAGCTGTTGCTGAAGCAGAAGCAGCCATAGCTGAAGCTGAGGAGGCTGCTAGGGACGCTGAAGCTCATGAAGCTGATGCTGAAGCTGCAAAAGCCTTTTCAGATGCAACGAAGACACTACATGGGAGAAGTGCCCCACGGATGGTAAGACATCCTTCTATTTCAATTATTGGGTCAACACTAATGGCTTCTATTGTTTTACTTGTCTCTCCTTCCTATCTTTCCTTTCATTGTTGGTGGGATATGTGTTCTTCCTTGTCCTTGGAATCATTATTGGTTCAGTGTCTAGAAATCATAGCTTGAGACCCATGAATTAACTAATAGAAAATGTGTAGGTCCATAATCTTTGCTTTTCGTTTCCCCTTTACTTTACTTGAAACATGATTTATCTAATCTAATACTTGTTAAAAGAATAGATATTCTCTTAATTAAATATGAAACATGCTTCTGAAGACCTTATCTTAACAAAACCTCAAGTAAAAGTTAGAAGTAGGGGTAAGAGTGGGTAGCTATATTGTTGCCACAACGGCATAATCTTCCTCTGGGCTTCACTAGCTTCTGTGCCAGTTCCAATGTCTTGATCAATATAATCTGTCATGTACCATCTGTTAAATCTTGAAGTCTGTAGAGAGAACTGCTTCACCTAGCTCTGGATGGTACAGTTGCACCAACCTGCACTGCAGAGAGGAATTGGAAGTTGTATTTGCAAGAGAGAGATTTCTAAACTCTCATGTTGTGTTTGCTATGATATTTATTCTTTTTACCTTTTCAGGGAGGGGAAGGGTGGGTTCCTTTAGAAGCTGATTCATTTGGGATTCTTCTTTTCTTTTTTCCATTTCTTTTTGGGGTGTGGTGAGGGAAGGGATGATGAATTGTGAGGAAGCACCCGAAGCAAATCCTCCTGTATCTCTGGTAATCTTGTTGGTTACAGCAGGTTATGGTAGAAGCATACCAGTTGACAAGTTGGAATGATAAATCACTAGCACATCAATGCTTCACTGGTGTTCAATGAGAGCAAGAAATGACACAGACAAGTATCTGGATGTTCATATTTAGCATCTTTTTAGTTGATTAGGAGGTTACTGTTACCTATCTAAACTAGTGCCTAACACAGTTTTTAAGCTGTTTAAAGTGTCTCTCGATGCAAAACTGATTATTCGCCGATATACTATGTTGAAAGCCTATTCTTTGTTTTGCTTGCTGATTGTCTCTCTAATATCTAGATAATACGTGCTTGATCGTTCCTTCCGAGGTGCGAGTTAGAGAATGCTGGATCCTGTTCCAGTTTGATGTTTCTGTATCTTCAGTCAACTCACTCTTCAGCTTGTACATATGGGCGAAAAAGTTCATGGTAAGTGTAATATACCAGGTTGTTAGTAGTAAAAGCTTTTCCGATTGTATCAGATTTGTGTTCCCTGTTCATCAGCGGACATGTCTCAGCAACCAACATGTTTTCTTATTAAGCTGTTTCTGCGAGCTGAGGGAATTTTCTGAGGAATTTGTTGTAAAGAGTAGGAACTAGGAATAACCCGGTGTGGTGGGGTGATGGGCGTCCGTTCATGTGCAGCTTGTACCTCAGGCTCAATTGTTTACTGTATGTTGATTGATTTATTTGATCTCAATTTGGATGGAAATTAAATTAGTTTAAAATAGTTTCTGGCCACTGTCATTTTCTTTTCTTTTTTTTTTTTTTAAAAAAAACTTAATGTCACCATTATGGTGAGAGGTTTGGCTTGACCTCAACCTGTATATTAAAACTCAAAAGGATCATTACAAAAGGAGTTGGTAAATCATATCTAAATGACTCCTGAATCAAGAGAGGAGAGCACATTCCAGTGAGATTAAGAAAGATAAAAGTGCTCCAAAGTCAAATTTTGGGGAAGGCATCCAATCCTTCTAAGATATAAAGAACCAACTATTTGAAAGGTTAACCATCAAAAAACTTCTTTCTAGTCCTAATTCTGAAGTTGACCAACTGGTCTCTGCCATTCTTCAAAGTAGTTCTCACCTTCAAAGGTAAAATGTCAGCGTCAGTGAAGAAGGTTGTCACGACCCCAATTTCCCACCGTAGGATGTTGTGGTGGCACCTAGTCTCTAAGACTAGGTAAGCCTAACATGCATGGAGAAATAGCGGAAATAACAATAGAGCTTCAAATTTAAACCATCTAGCTATCATAATAGAACTCGACAATATCGCTGACAATAACTCTCAAAATCTGGTGAGACTGAGTCATAAGCTCTACACGAATATACTGTAAAATCCCTAATACGTCACTATCAAATAAAGACTAGGCAGTAGAAAAACAAGGACAGAGGGTGACTCCGAGGCCTGCGAACGCCAGGCAGGATTCTTTGAAGTCTCCGAACTAAATGCTCTACTCACTAGTGCCTAGCCTGGGTCGAGGTACTGGATCTACACAAAAATGTGCAGAAAAGTAGTATGGGTATACCAAAACGGTACCCAATAAGTATCAAGCCTAACCTCGGTAGAGTTGTGATGAGGCGAGGTCAAGACACCTACTAGGATAAGAAAAGAAGCTGAACAAGTATAGTACATTCTAATAATGGAAACGAGGAAAATGAGGCAGTAAAGAAATACAACAAGATAAGCTACAACTGAATTTAAAGCAATAGAGGCGACAAGAAAGGAACACCTAAAGAACATCAAGAACAATGCGGACAAATACAAGTGAGGTAAATGAGATATAACAACAAGAATCATAACCGAGGTACCGCCTCGTAATCTCATTTTACAATCAGAATCACAATATTTCCTTATATCACTGCGGGAGCCTTACATTTAGTTTTGAAAATCATTTTCCTGAAATAACTACCTGCGTTTTAGCCCACCTTATCACACCGCGTGGCTTTAAGCAGTTCCCCTACTAGCAACACGCATATCAAGCCCACCTTATCTCACTACATGCGTTTCAACCCTTAGCCTTATGTCACCACATGCGTATCAATACAACAACATATAACAACTCACACCTCAAGTGCCCAAATGCCACAACTTGCTAAAAGAATCAATAATATCAATGTTTCCATAACAAATAGCCGATGACTCAACCACAATGTGCACAAGAATCTCAACAATAACAAAATGAACATAAATTGTTCAACAAGAAAGGTATCTCAACAATTAACAACTTTACCTCAATGTGATACCGGCTTCCACAAAAAACACCAATAAATTAACAAGAAAATACTTCACGAAATAACAATTTCAAATACGAGTAATTCAACAATAGCAGATGTAACAAGGCAGCAAGGAAGGCAATAACTTCAACTAAGCATATAAGGGAAAAACGGCAAGTAAGAGGTAAAACAAGTGTTAACTATGTCAAATAAAGCGTGTAGGATAGATTAACATGTAAGAGTTGATTAATTATGAGAGATATAGCTTGTTGTGACAATTCGATTAAAGGCATGGAAAGAGTCTAAATAACCTAAATCAGTCAAACACCACATATAACCTGTGTACCCACTTGTCACTTTGTGTACACGACTTTCACATAACACAAATAGCACAATCAATCCCAATTCCTAAGGGGTAGTTCTCCCGCACAAAGTTAGGCAAGATACTTGTCTCAAACAAGCTAACTCAATCCACTAATAAGCCTTTTTCGCGAATATCCAACTCTGGACGGCTCGAATCTAGCCAAAATAACATTATACTATAAATACAAACCATATGAAACTATTCCGGATAATAAAGTTGCAATCTTTAAAGAAAATAAAAAAGTCAACCCCGGGCCCGCGTTGCGGAACCTGGCCAAACTTACAAAATCCGAATACCCATTTATAACGAGGCCAACCATACTAAAATTATCCAATTCCGACCTCAAATCGATCTTCAAATCCTCAATTTATGATTTAGGAAGTTTTCACAAAATTCCCCCATTTTTCCAACTCAAAACACTAATTAAATTCTAAAAACAATGATGGATTCATGAATAATAATCTAATCCGGGTAAAAAACACTTACCTCGATCAACTTCTTGAAAATCCCTTCCAAAATCGCCCAAAATCGAGCTCTCTAACTCAAAAGATGAAAAATGGAACAAAACCCACCCTCGATCCAACCCTTTTCTGCCCAATTATTCCTCTTCTGGGGCTCCCCACTTGCGGAAAATCCTTCGCAGGTGCGGCTTTTCATTAAGCCCAGGAGGATCGCTTCTGCGGATGGTTGTGCGTATCTACGCTTGGACTTCCGCAGACCTAAGCCGCTTCTGTGGAAAAACAACCGTATCTGCGGACACAGCTCGCCTAGCCCCAAACTCGCTTCTGCGGCTCACAGGCCGCTTTTGCGGTGCCGCACCTGCGGCCCAAAGTGCGCAGTGCGATTGCACAAGAACCTTAGTTGGACAAAAATTCTTCTAAGTCCAAAATGATTCCGGATTCAATCCGAATCACATCCGGGCCCCCCAGAACCTCTCCCAAACATACCATCAAGTACCAAATCACATAACGGACCTACTCAAGGCCTAAAATCACATCCAACAACATCAAATTTACGAATCGCAACCCAATTCAAACCTATTGAATCCATGAACATTCAACTTCCAAAACTAACGTTGATTCATACCAAACCAACTTCGATTGACCCCATATTTTGCGCACAAGTCATAAATGACACAACAGACCTATTCCAACTCTCGGTCAAACTTCTCAACCTTCCAAACCTTCAACTTTTTGACTGTCACCAATTCAAGCCAAAACGACCTACGGACCTCCGAATCAATATCTGAACACACTCCTAAGTCTAAAATCACCATACGGAGCTATCAGAATCATCAAAACTCCATTCCAGAGTCGTTTACACAAAAGTCAAACTTCGGTCAACTCTTTCAACTTAAGCTTCCAACTTTGGGACTAAGTGTCCCAATTCACTCCGAAACTCACCCGAAACAAAACCAACCCCGCCGACAAGTCACATAACCACAATATAACGTAGAGGAGGCAATAAATAGGGGAACGGTTCTAAAATACTCAAAACGACCAGCCGGGACGTTACAAAGGTAGAAGTCTTCTTATATATACTCCAGTTAACTAGCAGGTCAGCTGTGCAATAGCAGTATGAAAACGTGAAATTGCCGTCCTGCCTTAACTCTCTAGTTTGTTCCACCAAGTGAGCAATCTGCCAAGGTGACCCCATATGCTTGTTTATCTCATTGATTAGAACTAGAGAGTCAGATTCAACTTCGACCTCCTTGTATCCATAATCAATACACCATTTCAAGCCAACCTGGATAGCCTTTGCTTCTGCCATATTATTAGTGCGGGAACCAAAAAAGGTGGAGTACGTCATTATTAGATCTCCATACTGATTTCTTAAGCATCCTCCACCTGCTAAGCCTGGTTTCCTTTGCTATAACCATCAATGTTAAGCTTAATATCCATCAGATGGTTTTATCCATTAGAGAGGGATAACTTTTAGTACAGGTTTACACCTTTCCACTGTTTGGATCAATTGTTTCCAATCAGCAAAGATAGGTAATGATGGAAATGGGTCATTTATAAGTATGCACCTCATGTTCTGAATTTGTTGAATAAGTTTCTTGACAGAAATTTTTCCATCTCCATATCTGATAGCACATCTTCTTTTCCAAACTTCCCAGCATATCAAGCATGGGAGGCAGTGAAGAAAAAAAGAATGAACATTATTCTTGGGCTCCGTTAACCACCAATAGAATAGAGTTTGTCTCAATTCAGAGGTAGTGTTCAAGCCACAATAGCTGCCAAATAAATTCCAAGCAGTTGATGCCCCATAGCTGCTAAGGAAAACATGGTCAACAGTTTTGGATTTGGGAGCTCTACAGCACGAACACATAGATGGAGCAATGAATCCAAATTTTCTATTGATCTCATCAATAGGCAATCTGTTGTAAATTAGTCTCATCATAAAGAAGGAAATTTTGAAGGGAATCCCTTTATACCATATATATATTACCAGCAGAACTAGTAAAGTTTCTGGAGTGCTTAAAGAGTTGCCAAGCAGATTTGCAGGAAAAGGAACCATCATTGGTAATGGTCCAAATAGGTTGATCTGTTTTAGAACCACCAGGCACCTCAATCAGGGAGAGATTCCGGACAATAGAGATAGAGAGAGCATTCTCAAGAGCATTAAGGTTCCGGTTTTCTGTCCACGACTGTCTCCTTACCTTTACTAGGGTCATTAATAAGCTTGGTTTAAAGAACCATATTCCGACCAGTCATACCACCGGAAAGAAGCTCTGTTTCTCAGACCTCTTTAATATCCGTCATCCTTTTCCAAATTTGAAATGGCCAGGTTTCCATATAGAAGCAACCGGGTGGGTACTGTTATAGTACTTAGCTTCAATGGATTCTCTCCAAAGAGAATTCTTAGTTCTAAGTAGGAGTGACAAACGGTCGGGTCGGGTCGGATATGGTTTGGGTCGAAAACGGGTAATGAAAAAATGGATCAATTATCCGACCCGATCCATATTTAATGCGGATAAAAAATGGGTTAACCGGCGGATAGTATGGGTTACCCATATTATCCATAACTTCTTGTATATGATCACTTTTGGGAGAATTCTTAGTCTCCCTAACTTGAGGAACCTCCAATTTGAAGCTTTACAAATGTAAAAGTTAGACCCATTAGTTATCCATTTTCTAAATGGATAAT